GACTATGGGTACCAAGAGCCTACACAAGGTGACCCGCGCACAGGGAACACAATGTGAGAAGACTCTACCAGACAACCCAGGCACGAAGAACATGATGCCTAGGGTGGAGACTAACAGGTGCAGAGACCATGCACACCAGGCTAACAGTCTGTACTCCGAGGAATCAAGCATTGGCACACCCCACCAGGCCCTAGAAAGGCTGAATTGACAAAGCATGACTTTGGAGGCGGTTGAAGCTGTCCAGGCTAGAAGCAAGCAAGGAACCAGGATGGCAGGAACACATGCCTGGGAACATCGGGACCCTTCCCTCCCCCCTCCAAGTACAGCCAGTGATCTCCCAGAAACATGTGGTGTTCCTGTTAGGGACGAGCTAAAGAAAGTCAGCAAACTATAAAGCAGGTCCTATTCTCAAGTGTGCAGTCCCAGAAAAGGTACCACCCAGGTCCTACTCTCAGCAGCGTGCAGAAAAGGCTGCATGAGGAGTCTTAATGTCCTAACAGTGTTTCAGGGAGGTTGCCGGGTGACCCAGGGCAGGTCAGCTCATTACGCTGGACTGACTCAGGAGGAACCAAAGGGCAGCTCAGGCCAGCCAAACACAGTTGATGCTACCAAGCCTGACATAGTAGTTCACCCTTGTAATCTCAGCACTTGGATAGCTAAGGCAGGAGGATCGCTGTGAGTTCAAGGCTAGCCTCTGCTTACATGGTAGGTTCCAGTTCAGCCAGGTCAAGAGTATGAAGTCGGTCTCAAAAACTCGTAACTGAAAAATAAGCAGGCAGGTGCTTCCTCAGCCATGGTTCTCTTAACCTTAGAAGGCCACGTGTGTCTTTATTAGGGTTACAGGCTGAGCCCTCACAGACTTGTACATTGACCCTGTGGCCTCAGAGCCCCAAGAACCATCCAGTTGCTGCAACGAGGCCCCTTGCTCCCTGTGTAGCTCTTGGGTCCTCGGGGCCATGGGAAGTCAGGTGGAGCAGGATCCAGGCCACCCTTCCCCTTCCTGGTCCCATGTGGAAACAGGCAGGCAGAGCACCCAGCCTGCAGAAGAGCAGCTGTTGGGCTAAATGCAAACTTCAGGGTAGGTAAGTAAAAGCCAAGACAAGCCACTCAGTACTCACAGCTTAAGGAGAGAAGTAGCCACAGCCTGCAGCTCAGACTGGTGGGAAGGTACACCATGCCACAGTATAGTGGTACCCAAGTCACTGAGGGAGGAACAGAAGGGGATGCTCAGAAACTGCACAGGGATCGTGCCTGCAAGAGAGGTTTCCCTCTAGCAGGCAAGAGCCCTGACATCAGAGGGACACTCCCAACCTTTCCCAAGGTCCAGCCTCAGGCCTCTGGGGAACAGGACCTGCACAGCCCCTCTGAAGTCTGTTTGCATGTGACCTGGGGGAGACCTGGCCCACCACAACCTGGCCTATGACATGGAAGTTCTGACTCTCGACACCTGGAGGGAAGAAAAGAAGTTGGCAAAGCCAAGCAGCCTCTCGCCAGTGCTCACGCTTTACTGAGGCCCACAGGAGGCTTTCCGGCCCCAAAGCTGTGAAGGCAGGGATGAAGGCATTGCAGCATGGTGGCCCCAATAGAAGCCTTCTCCTTCCTCGGGGAAGGTATGGCTGTCAGACTCTGACAAGTCTCCGTGACCCAGCTTGCTTGCAGCTTCCCTCTTCCTCAAGAGCCAGGACTGTCTGTGCCTCCCTGCGCAGACTTCCCCAGGATATGCATCCCTCTCCATTGGGATGAGGGGGCTGGGAGTGGCCACCTGGGGTGGATGCAATGAGGACTTCACTGCGAGAAGTTGGACCTAGGGGAGTACTTGAGCGAGTATCAGGGCTGGAAGACTAATAGGGACAGAGGCAGGTGACTCAACAAAGGGAAAAAGAAGGGAGAGCACGCCACTGCGTGGCCCCAGCTTCGACAAAACCAGAACTCCATGAACAAACAAGACCAGGTCTTACAGTGTAACTGGGATCAGGGATCGGGGACAAGTATGTAACTCTGTCCTGGACCAGGGTCCAAGTGACCTGGGGCAAGGTTCAGAGTATGACAGGATCAAGACGTGTGTTCCTCTGATGGAGAATGGCAGAGGTCAGGGTTCTATCTGTGGCTCCAAGTACAGCAGAGATGTGTGTCTGGGAGGGAGGTACCATACATGCAGGATCACGGTTCAAGATGTAACTAGGTCAGGGTGTGACAGAGGCTGGCTTTATTGTGTTTAGGGACTTGGAGATCTGTGTATGTCAAGTTCAAAAAAAGAAAAAGCCGGGCAGTAGTAATGTGCACCTTTAATCCCAGCACTCGGGAGGGAGGCAGAGGCAGATGGATCCCTGGAGTTTGAGGCTAGCCTGGTCTACAGAGCAAGTCCCAAGACAGGCTCCAACAAAGCTACACAGGGAAACCCTGTCTCGAGGGAAAGGAAAATAAAAATAAAGAATAAAAACTTGGGACGAATGGATATCTGTGGTGCCTATTAGTGTACCAACGTTGATGCTCTAGGCTCTCAGAATCACAAGTACCTGTTACAGGGTCCACATCCTGGCTCTTCCCAATTCTTCTTACCCCACCCCTACCCTGAGCTCCTCCAGCCCGTGATCTTCCCTCTCCCAGCTTCTCATCCCCTTATAACCCTACTATTTTGACTATTTCTTTTGCCTTTCTTTCATGGCCCCCTTTCTCTTGGTCTCCTTTGCCCGTTTTCATCCTCCTCACACTCTCCTTTCGTGATCCAGTCCAGTCTGCTGGCCACGTCCAGTTCACTGCCTTCTCTGTCAGCTCTGGACTCTCCCTCATATCTACGACAAAAGCCTTGTCTTCGACTATATCATGGAGCAGTCGTGCCCGCAGTTTACACATCTGTGTATAACTGGATCAGGGTTCGTTGTATCTCTGTGATCAAGTCTTGGTGTATAATCAGGATCCAGGCTCAGAGAGGGATCAGAGCTCTTAAAACAAAACAAACAATTTAAAAAAAAAAAAAAGTGTCTCTTTATGTAGCTCTGGCTGTCCTGGAACTCTGTAGACCAGGCTGGCCTCCGTCTCACATCCATCTACTTGCCCGCCTTTACCTCCCGAGTGCTGGAATAAAGGCGTGAGCCGCCACACCCAGGAGAGCTCAATGTTTGACTAAGGTTGGGCTCAGGGTGTTACATGAATGGAGGCCTCTTATGTTACGGAGGTCAGGGCTCAGTGTGTGAGCAAGCTCTGGTCTCAGAGTGTGACAGGAACCAAGACTCATTGACTTACTGACATCATGACTCAGGGGACAAGTTTTAAAATTTACTGTGACAAGATCAAGGAACAGCCTTATCAAAAGTGAGGGTTCAGATTCTTGGAGAGGAGCTTCACGGTGTGTGCATCCATCCTTTCTCACCCGCTAGACTCTGGGATAGTCTGAACGCGGCTCCTGGCTCTCTCTGGGAATCTCAGGATGTTTTATTGTGTCCCCCCCCCCAGCACCTTGATAGCATTTCTTGTGATCACAGATGGCCCTGTGGAGTATATGGGGAGGCAGGACCTGGGGGCTGGTGTCACCCTGGGACTGATTCCCAGAGGAAGTGCTGTAATGTTTGTTGCAAGTGTCTGATTGTGACATCTGCCCAAGGCCAGAGCAGACAGAGCCTGAGAAGAATCCATAGAGAGCAATCTGTCCTTGTTAGCTCTGGGGTCTTCTAGAATTTTCTTCATCTTAAAGGGAGGTCCCATCAAGCATTATCGTCTCCTTCTTGGGGACCTTCTATGTCCTTGATCTTAAGGTACAACCCAGAGTCCTGAGGTGCCAAGTCCTGGCCCCATACTCCCTTGTGTCTGTAGAGTACCTTTCCTGATCCCTGCCTTGGGCCTTGGAACGACAGGTCCACAGGAAGGCCACCAACCCTGCGAGACCACACCCATCAGAGTCAAGGCTGAATCCCCACCTCCCATCAGCGGAGAGGCAAGACACTGGCTAGTTCTAGGCTGGGATGGCCAGAGGGAACCTGCTGCCTGAGGCCATGTGGCCAGGCCCTGGTTGTGAACAGTACCCAGGCTGTTTACAGCAGCCAGCTAACATGGGGGACGCAGGGAGCCAGCCTATGGTTGGAGAGGATTTTCTTATGCCCTGCAGAGGGGTGGGGTAGCAGGCACCAACAATGCTTCATATGCCTCTTCTCTGCCTCTTCCCAGAGTCTCCTTTCTCCTGAAAAACCCCAAAAAAATGTCCATATTTGGAGGGCCAGCCAGTTGGGGGGGCAAGGGGGGCCGGGATCCTGTTAACCCTTCCTCTTTAAATAAAGGGATAAATCAGAGTGGAGTTAAACACTATGGCAGAAACATAAACAGTGGGTAGCTCTGGCCCAGCCCCCTGCCTGCCCCACGCCGCCCTGCACAGAATGCAGTGTTTATTTGACTCACACCGGAGGCCAGGCAGCTAGGCGGCTTCTGCTGGGACCTGCCTCCTGGCTCCAGCTCTCAGCACCCACATAGCCTATTGAGCACCCATTCTCCAAGGGCGGTCCAGAGTGGTGATCCGGAGTTGGCCTGAGAGGAGGTAAGAATAGATCAGGGCCCAGGGACTGGGGCCTTGACAGTGAGTGTGGAGCAGGGGAGAGGCAAGCAGCTTCTAGTCCCCTGCCTGGGCCAGCTAGTTTTTTGTCTCAGCCGAACTGGTTCATCATTCACCAGCTATGTCTGCAATGCTCCCAGAGGCGATGGGATTCCAGTGGCATGGAGTAGAACAGAAAACATGGGATCTAAAGGACTTGCCTAGGGAGGCACAGATAGGACTTGTAAGCACTATCCCTGAACTCACACAGCAGCCCTGTGTGTTCTTTTCTCTGGAGTCTGAGGACAGCCCTCCATGCAAGTGTTTGTCTGTCCAGCAAGGATGGTCTCAGGAAACTCAGCATCTTGCTGCACTTACTCGGCACAGAGTCTGGGCGGAATGGAGAGAGATGGGTCAAACAAAAGCATGGGTTGGGGAATGCCAGACACCTGGGATAACTCATCTGCTTGCTTCCAGGAGTGCACTGACCACTGCCATGCCCTCTGCTTCCCCCGCGAGAGCCTGGGATGCCGCGCTCCCCAACGCCACCGCAGCAGCATGGACCAATGGAAGTGTGCCAGAGACACCCCTGTTCCACCTGTTTGCCCTGCTGGATGAAGAGTTGCACGAAGACTTCCCCAACCTGTGGCTGGCACTAATGGTCACGCACAGCACCATCTTCCTGGCCGGGCTTGTGCTCAATGGACTAGCATTGTATGTCTTCTGCTGCCGCACGCGGGCCAAGACACCTTCGGTCATCTATACCATCAACCTGGTGGTGACAGACCTGCTGGTGGGCCTGTCCCTGCCCACACGCTTCGCTGTCTTCTATGGTGCCCGCGGCTGCCTACGCTGTGCTTTCCCTCATGTCCTGGGCTACTTCCTCAACATGCATTGCTCCATCCTCTTCCTCACCTGCATCTGTGTGGACCGCTACCTGGCCATTGTGCAACCTGAGGGTTCTCGTCGCTGGCGCCAGCCTGCCTGTGCCAAGGCTGTGTGCATCTTCGTGTGGCTGGCGGCAGGCATCGTGACCCTGTCGGTACTGGGTGTGAAGGCCGGTGGACGGTCGTGCTGCAGCGTCTTTGCTCTGACCGTTCTGGAGTTCCTGCTGCCTCTGTTCGTCATCAGCGTGTTCACAGGCCGCATCATGTGTGCACTGTCACGGCCCGGCCTGCTACGCCAGGGCCGCCAACGCCGCATGCGGGCCATGCAGCTGCTGCTCACAGTGCTGGTCATCTTCCTGGTCTGCTTCACACCCTTCCATGCCCGCCAGGTGGCTGTGGCGATATGGCCCAACGTGCCGAACCACACAAGCCTCGTGGCTTACCACGTGGCCGTGACCCTCAGCAGCCTCAACAGCTGCATGGACCCCATTGTCTACTGCTTCATCACCAGTGGCTTCCAGGCCACTGTCCGAGGCCTCTTCCACCAGCACGGAGAAGAATTCAAGCCCAGCAGTATGGATGTGGTCAGCACTCACAAGAGCACCAAGGACTCAGGCCCCCATCAAATACTCAGTGCAGGCTCTCACACCCTCACCCAGCCTCTGACCAATGGGCCTGAACCATAGGTAGCAGTTGCTCTGCAAGGGCCAGAGGTCAAGCCTCTGACAGGTTACCAGCCAAACACAACCGGGGCCTGGCCAACAAGTTGACTTTCTATTGATCCATTGGCTATGGCTGCCCAGTGTGCTGTATTGACAAACTGAGACCACTGTGCTGTGATTGATTAGAAATGTCTGCCAGGGGCTCTAGATAGGGCGTAAGGGTGTAAATGCTGGATTCTTGCCTTTCCCACAGCTGTGTGGTGTTCTCTGAACACTCAGAAAGGCAGCCAGGAGCTGCTCCTAGCCTCTTTTATTTTGTTCCCTGAAGAAGCTCCTCCAGAGAAAGCACAACGATTAATGTTCTGAGGATTCCCGAGAGGGTTAAACACAACCAGAAGAGTCTCCTCTACCACAGGCAGATGGAGAAACAAGAACAGAAAGTCAATGTTTTGGTAACAAGACTGTTATCTACAGGGAATGAAGACAACCCCATGAGTGCCACCGGCCTCCGAACTACACCACAGGCCAACAGAGCAACACAAATTGGCCCGCTGCCCATTGTATGCCAGGACTTGCATATCCGGTTGACACCTGAACCTCTGCAACCCCAGAAGAAGAAGCTAGTTCTAGTTTTATCCCTTTCTTCCACGCAAAAGGGGGAAGACACAGACACCACCACTGGACAATGGTAGGGTCAAAGCTAAGACCCAGTCTCACAGCTTTCAGCATCCCAGCTCCTGCTTCCATGGCTACCTCCCAGACTCCCAAAGACCCTGCCCCAGGAATGGTCCCGAATACACTGCCTGCTGCCCCAGACTCTGCAAGGCCCCAGCCCCATCCAGTGGATAAAGACGCTAGGAATAAAGATAAAAAGCAACTCAAGCTCAGGCCCGCCAACGCAAGGCCTCTGTGTCTTCCTAGGCTCGCCCTGCTGGGGGCCAGAGCTCCTTTGGAGATGTTCATCTTATCCTTGTCTCCAAGCTGGACATCAAGGTGTTTGGGGGAGGGGTCTGTGGTGAAGGAGCAGGCTCTGGGTCATTAGTCTGTGAAGCAAGTGAGGGGTGGGATCTAGGTCCAAATTGTGTACTGGTCTTGTTGAGAAGTCTCCTATGTTCCAGGGACCAAGGACCTGAATGGCAGTTGGGGGCAGGGTTGGAGTGCAGACTTTCTAGCTGACTCCAGACAGGGTACCCATACCCAAGCTGAGGGGTCCTGTGTGAGAAGAGCCAGTTAGGGACCTACCTGCCATCAAGGAGTCCTGTCCTGGCTCAGTGCTAAATTGCTAACTCAACATGCATGGTTACCTTGGATGCAACTCCCAGTATAACACAAAAACAAAACAAAAAATGGACAAGGACCTGAGGTTTGGAGCAAAAGAGTAGCAGCTATCATGGGGAGGGGCGAGCACTTGGATAACCAGAAGCCAGTCTTGTCCTCACTACTCCCAGTCAGATATCAGGACATCATGAGACCACTGAGGTGGAATGACACCCAACTTCATTTCCTGGCTGGGATGACCTGAAGTCCAACCATCAAAGACATACCAAGAAAGACAGTAGGGTAGGGCCCTGCCTAGGCCTACTTCCTGTCTGTATACCTGAGAAGCAGAGGAAAAAATCATGGCACCGTTTTGTTTTGTTTTGTTTTGTTTTGTTTTGTTTTGTTTTCCAAGTCAGGGTTTCTCTGCATAGCCCTGGCTGTCCTGGAGCTTACTCTGTAGACCAGGCTGGCCTTGAACTCGGAGATCCACCTGCCTCTGCCTCCTGAGTACTGGGATTAAAGGCTTGTGTCACCATCTCCTGGCCATGGCAGTCTTTTACACTCCTAGCCACAATGCCTCTGACCCTCACTGGAGTCTTCTGTTGTTCCTCATACAGAGGCACCTCCCCCAGACACCTGTGCATACAGGGCCAGAGACTCCAGACTCCATCCCAAGGGATCTTTCAAGTTCCCATAGGCTATTCACGTTCACCACCACCTCGAGAGCCCCAAGTCTGTGTCTCTATAACCCTTCTGTGATGTGAGATTCACAGAGGCAGGGGTTGCAGGCAATGGAAACAGGGGCTGAGGCAGGCAATGACCTACTTAAAGATGAGTCCAAGCCTGCCTCTCTGGGAGTTGGTGATGGACAGGGAGCTATACCAGCCCCTTTAGCCTTGCGTGAACATCACTCTAACCTTTTCTAGCATAGTTCCCAGTCTCACATAAGATCCACGCCATCCCAGCCTGTCTGTTACCTTTGCCCTACACTGTATCAAAGCTCCGCCCCCCCCCATCCTGGTTCCCTCTTGTCATTCACCAAAGAGTGAATAAGTAGGTTTGGTGGTAAAAAGGTAGCAATTATTCTGGGACAGTCCTTTCTGGAAGAAAGGGGTCTCAAAAGTGGGTGAACAGAGTTATGCCCGAGTCTAGAATAACCCCATCAACCTGGGTTTCTCAGGGCCTTGGAAGCTTCTCGGGCTATCAGGCAGGGCCTTTAGTGAAGGATTTTGAAGGCCTAGGCAGGAGCTTGTCACCATTCAAGCCAAGAGGACTGCCTGCCTTTTGAGTGGTCAAGAGCCAGACTTGGGACCATCCTTCCGCCTCTGAGAACTCTGACAACTTCTCTCTCAGAGCTTTGGAATTCCAGTTTCCCCACATGCCACACTCCCTTTCCTCTCCTCGGAGCTGGAAAGTGGATTCTCAAGGGTATCTTGCCCTCCTGAGGTCCAGGGTACTGGTCTCCCTGGTCCTAGAGGTCAGACTATCAATCCACTTCAGAGATATGGCAGCTAAGGTTTTGTCCAAGGGGCTCTGCTCAGGCCTAGGGTGCCTAGGCCATGAGGTTTCTGTGCTCAGTGTGTCTTCCTTCCCCAGATTTTCAAAACTTTCAAATGACGTGAAATGTGTATTTATATCTGATGTAAACAGCGTCCTTCACTTGAAGTCCTCGCCCTAAATTAACACTGTTTATTTTCCTTGTGCCCAGCTCGGCTCCCAGCTGGCAGATGGGGGCTGGTGGGGTCACCCAGCTTATAGTGCCCTGTGTTGCCCCTCCCTCTCCTCAGAGTGCCCTGTGACGCACCTGAGGAGGGAATAAAGAGGTAGGCAAGCACCTACATGCCCACGTGTCTCACCAGATCCTCAAGGTGTGACCTGGAGGCAGGGGGAGCATTGGCCCATCTGTGGGCCTATTAAGTGCCTAGAAAGCCATTCTCTCTCTGGCCTGAGGGATAAGATCCTAGCCTTACTGCATTGATGGGGGCAGTGTCTGCAGAAGTTAGCCTGAGAAAATTCTCCTTGGTACCCAGCTTTTGTCTCTCAAGCAGCCTGTCTGGCCTCGGGCCCAGGGAGGCTCACAGGAGACAGGGATGCAGGGAGAGATGCAGGCTGTACACTGTTCATTCTTCCTGTCTGGCACCGATGAGCAGCCGGAGGCGTCTAGAGGTAAATATTAGGGACTGTTTAGATTAACCTCCATTAATAGCAGGAAATGTCACCTCGGGTGCCTGCCCTGGCTTCCTGTAAGCCTGAGGCGGGGCGAGTCTGGTTCAAGCTGATGGCCAACAGGGAATTACTCGCATAAATTCCAGGCCCCCCACACCCATGTGCACAAGCTCAAGGTCGTCTTCTGGTGTGGCAGGCTCTGCCTGCCATGGCTCCTTGAACCTCAGTCTCACCTCCTAGGGGGATCCCAGAGGCAGGGGTGCAAATACAAGGGAAGGAGACGCCAACTGGCTGAATGTAGCTACTACCATATTTCCTTTGGGCTGGGCTCCCAGTTCTCAGAGGGTAAAAGTGAGGCTAGAAAAACAAAGCGGTGCCCTCCAGTGTGTCCCTGCACAGACCTCGGCCCAGCCTGGACGCACATACACTGAAACCACGGAAAATGTGGACCTGGCTGAGGAGGCAGAGAAGGAGCACCTGAGTGCCAGCAAGGGTCACACGGCCTCAGAGCATGGAGGCAGGACAGGTAGAAACACACACACACACACACACACACACGTATGCACACGCATGCACACACACACGCACGCACATGCATGCACACACACACTACTCTTAGGCACATCTTCCCCACTCCTGTGTCCGCAGGACCTCATGGCCCCAAGAAGACGCCTAGACCCTTCAGACCACGCCAGACTCCTACCCACTTGTGCAACCACCTCCCTCCTCTGCCTTGCTCCCTGAGGCCCACTCCTCCCCAACCTACCTACTGCAAGACAGGGCATAGTTCTCCGGGCTGTACCCTCCCTTATTCTCACCCCTGTGTCTATCACTAACCACCGCGGCCACCCTAAGACCTTCTGATTCTCCAGATGAGCCCATTGCCACACTGTGACATCTTCCTGTACCCTGGGACTGGCAGCTGGGACCAGACTCAGATCTGCCTGTGGCAACCGTGAATAAGCCTGCTCATAAGAGGGCTTTGTGGCAAAGAAGGGGCCTCTGCCTCCCAATCAGTTTCCTCAAGAACTCGAGGTCACTGGCTCCCAGCCCCCAGCATGTGGGGGAACCTCCAGATCACCAAGCCTGATTCCCTCTCTGCCCACCACCTGGTATCAAAGCCACCTCTGAGACTTAAATGGGAAATGGTTGGAAAGAGCTCTGTCCCGGGCTCTGGTCCCCTCCTCTGTTTAGCCCTTGACTTCAGTTGATGGGGTTGTGATTCAAAGGGGACCTTACCCTTTTGGTACAAGTCCAATCTGTCATAACCTGGCGAGGTCAGCAGACCCACAGCAGGGGTGGGGCTGAGGTCCTACCATGTGCCCTGGACTGACCCATCTGTCTCTCGGCCATAGTGGGCTCATTACTTTGATGCAATGTCAGTACTTGTGGGTTTGGGGCAGTCTTTGCATTTTATATGGACTCGGGCCACAGATCACCAATCCACAGGAGACACAGTGGGGCCGGCACTGGCTACCAGAACCTGCTGAAGCTCTGAAGGACAGGGACCAGGGCTGCCACCTCCCACCCCTGCATAGCAAAGGCATCCAAACCGAAAGTGTGAGGATGTGGAGAACCTCCCCACCTCACTGACCCATGAAGCCAAGCTCTTGTCTGTGATGGGGAGTCCAACCTTATCTTCCGTACAGCAAAGCTGCGGGATTATATCAGGGAAGCCTCCAGAACCTTGCTCAGGAGGTCACAG